CCTCCATTCAGTCATCACCAACATTGCACCCTGATTTGATGGGAGAAATGAGAAAGAATACAACTGGGGGCTCATAGCCTGGCCTATGATTTCAATTGCATTTTGAAAAAATCTCCATATTTCCTTAGTCTAGATCTATGGAAATTATTCTCTTCTATCCCTTTACTTTAGATCATAATGACCAGTTGAACATCACATCATGACCCTTCAGCCAAACAAATGGACAATGGAATTTTATAAATTAAAAACTTTATAGGATCATTTTATAAATTAAAATTTCACAATTGAAAGACCACTCAGAGATAAATGGAAATGTCTATGAGTAAAATACAGGAAGTTGGTTTATACAAACTCAGATTATTGCCTTGCTAATCTAGTACTCCCATTTCTGTTCAGGAGAAAAAAAAATCCATCCTTTTTATATAATAATCTCCTTAATGGGAGCTGGCAGGGACTGAAGTTCAAACTTTCTGTATGCAAAGCAAGTGTTCCATCTTTGAGCCACCACAGCCTCTTCCCAGGAGAAAGTGAAAGGTTCAAGACTACCTACAAACTCTGCTCTTAAATTCTTAATGTAATCACAGATGAGTACTGACTACTTATTGTAAACTCTGTAGTGATGGGCATACATTCTGTAGATATTCAAAGGTAGGTATAATGATATATTTAGAGCCAGGGAGGAATTCACATTCTAACCAGCAGGAGATTCCTCCATTATCAGTTATGAGATCAAGTCTCCTCATCATTTTATATAGAAGCCACAAGAAAGGGATTGGGGAAATCACCACCTTAAAAAGATGAATTCTATAGGGGAAACAATTTTGTGGTTAAGATTTCTATAACCTACCCCATCCTCTTTCAATAAATATTTGCAGAAAAACCTCTGGAAGAATGGTACTTTCTATGGAGATGGGGTGATCAAAAACCTGACACTAGTCTTTTTTTCTAACATTAATGTAATCCCAAGGATGTAGGCCTCAGTGCTAAAAATCAATTTAACAAGAGACATTCCCAAGATTTTTCACATCTGTGAGCTGAATGGAAAAAATGAAAAAAAATGGAAGACTATTATGAAATCAATAGGGGATACTGGATACATTATCCACTGCAGTTTTTCTAAGTAGTGTTGTCAGGTTCAGCCCAAAGAACTCCAAGAGACAATGCAAATACAGTTTTGTTGCGTTTATTAGCTTCCACCTCAGGACAGAATCTCACCAGACTGAACCCAAGCCAGCCAGCCACAACACCGTGAATTCCTTAGGGAGGTGCCAGCCTCATCTTCTTGAACTTCCCACGCTCCT